AGGATTAAAAATATGAATGACTTTATTTTATTTTTGTGGTGAATTTATCATATATAGTGGTTTAATTTGTGAAATGGTTTTTAAATTTATTTTTCTTGAAATTTGGAATTATATTTAAGTCATCATGTTAATATTTAATTAATTAATTTATATATAATATTGGTTGAAAATTTGAACATGTATATTTTAATTTAATTAAGAAAAATTTTAATTAAAAATTTTCTAATAAATATTTAAAATAGTTTCTCTCTATAAAATAATCTTAATATTAAAAGCACATTGATACTTGCCATTTTTCGTAATTTGACTCTCAAAGGAACTTTTTAAAAAAGATTAGTCAAACGCGATTTGCTTATCAAAACTACTTTTCAAATGAATTAGTCAAACACAATTATTTTTTTTCAAAAGTACTTTTTAAAAAGTCATTTTAAAAAAGTGCTTCTAGAAATAAGCAATTTTTAGCAGTAATACCAAATATGCTATAACTTTATTTAATCTTTTATAAACAATCTAATATGATTTTAAGATGTAAAAATAAAATAAAATAAAATAAAATTAGAATATTGAAAATGTAAATATACCCTAATTACCAGTTAACATGTGGAATGGGAAGTTACCATATTAGTTAAATTATGAAATACTTAATGAATTTAGATATTATTATTTTTTGAACTTTTGATTAAGAACTTTTAGGAGTACTAAGTAAGGATAAAATTAAAACAACTAAAATCTCATAATTTGTATTTATAGCTATTAATGACTATCATACAAATAAAAACATTCCAATTAAATTTTAAGTCGCATATAATATTAAGAAGTGGTATATGAATTAAAAAAAATTGTCTTTCAAGCGAAAATCAAACTTCTAAAATGTAAAAGTAATGAAAATAAATGATATTTTCAATTAATTTTGTAGACATTTTATTTCGATGTTTCTGTTCTTGCATATAGTTCATAACATCTCTAAAAACATCTATCTAAACAAAATAAATAATTATTTAGGGGAAAGATAGAATATCAATAGGCAGAGGCAGAAATTATTAGTGATTAATTGTTTTTTTAAAAATTGATGCACATTAAAAATCTTCCTTGGATTGATGCTAAGGAACAACTTTTCACTTCTTCTTTAGGAGTTGTTGCACAAAGATGAGCAAACTTATGAAGAGGAATTTTCTTGTGGATTGACTCTTGTCAAAGAAATATTTAATTTATTAAACTAATTAGTTGATATTTTTTTATAATTAAAGTAATTTGATGTGAATTATATATTATTAATTAATTAAGAATAAAAGCTACGGAGAATGAAGATGAATTTTTAAAACAAAATAATTAAAAATAATAATAAACAAAGGATCAATAAATGTTTAAGGCCAAAAAAAAGGTGTTACATCACTTTTCTTTTTATATATATATATATATATATATATATATATATATATATATATAGAGAGAGAGAGAGAGAGAGAGAGAGAGAGAGAGAGAGATTATTTGCAGATGAAAGAAATACCCACAATTTATGAGGATGTGATTTGTTTTGGGAACATGTACAAAATCAATCAAAATTCAATATGAAATTGATATAATTATTCTTGAAATTACAATAGAAAATTAACCCATAAAAGATAATATTATTACATTTAAATCTACATTTATAATTATGTACAAACTTGTAACAAATAATACTTGTAACAAAATTTGATATATTACTGATAATGACTATTTTTTCAAGCTTGAATTTGGACAAATACTTTTCACCAGGAAAACCATATGTCAATTCTTTGTTATTTCCTAATAACAAAAAATTGCATCAGAATAGTACGTAAAATCAATAATTGTGCCAAAATCAAAACAAAGGACAAACTTCTTCTTCTTCTTCTTTTTCTGAAAAAAGAGTTTCAAATGAAAAAAGAGCAAATTAACACTAATGAAAGCAATGGAAATGAAAGTAAGAATGTTATACACTGGAAATAATTTTCTTTAGTATTTATAGTAACGTAAGAGAAGTCCAACGAATTTGAGTATAATTATAAGTAAATGAATATTAAGTACATTAATAGTGCCTAATTACATTTGTACAGTAAAGGGGTTTAAATTGGTATTAAAGTGCCTCAACGTGGGCTGCATTCATTTGGACATTTTCTGGAATCCCATATTTATAATTGGGTGTTATGAAGTTTTTATTAATAGTCCTTTAATTAATTAATAGAAGAAATCAACCAAAAATGTAATTAAAAATCAGAAAAATGGCAAAAAAATGAGAATAAATATAAATCCAAAAGCTGGTCATAGAGAGGTGCCACGTCACCGTTTCTATATCCAGCTTTATATTAATATATAGATTTCCAATAAAATGGAGTATTTTTGACCTTTTCCCATTAAAGTATTACCTAAAAAGAAAAAGATCATTCCTTTTCAAATAGGCTAAAAAAGGAAAAAAAATCATCCTTATTCTGACCGACTTTTGACCAACTGTCAATAGATCTAAGAATTTGTGAACATATTTTACTATTTAAAGGTTGCACAAAGTGCAAAAATAATATCATATCACTAATCGATTTTTTTTAAAACAGTAATTGTGATGATGAAGAATGTTGCCTCAAATAATGTTTTTCTTTTGAAGACCCTTTTTTTGTTATGCTCTATTTTAATAGTAACACAAGGTAAATACACTTTTTTTCATGAGTCATATTTATTCCAACTTGCATGTATATAATATATTGTTAAATAACTTATTATTTTTCATTTTTTTTGTTATATGAATTAGCAGCAAGAATTGGAAGAAGAGAAATTGAATCAAATCAAGCTTATGCAAGTGGATTTGACACAAACTTTCAGCTTGATGATTCAATAGTAATTGACTATGCACCAGTTCATCCATCGCCGAGTATACATCATGGTCAACCACCACCAAATAATCGTCGTTCTATATAATTTATGAGTCTTTTATTGAATAATATTGGTAGTTAGCAAAATTTTCCGTTGTGCTTCTCATAGGGTGTTTGTACGCCGATTTATTAGTCTTCTTATGTCTTTGTTGTTTTGAGATTTGATTGAACCTAATGCATAGACGGAACTTCAAAGATTAATCTTAATTTTTTGACATTTTTATTTAATTTTCAATATGTTTATTTTAAGAAAAAATGATATCCAACAAAAAGAGACATTTTTAAATATAAGTTTTGTTTTGATTCGCAAGAAAAATAAAATTTATGTTGGTACTAGCATAGTTTAATTATGAGGCAAACTTGACCGTAGCTTCCCAATTAGTTGTGCCTCTGAGTGCCTAATCAAATATATATTCATTTTTTAAAATATATAATTATGTATATACATAAATATCTATATAATTTTTTTCAAAATTATTAGGGTCTGATGATCCACCATACTTTTACTTAGTCTGCTCTGCGTATTATAATTTGAGTTTCGAAAGTTGCGATTAACCCAAAAGGATTGATTCTAATAGGATTTATCGATCATTAAAAACTCGTTCTAAGTGTGCATGAAAGGTATAAAGTGGATTTTTGACACCAACTAAATCCAATCAAAATGAATCAATAATATGGTGCAAGTAAAATGTCAAAATTCATTCATATCCATTTGTATAGTGTCTTATTTTTCAAATATGAGTGTCAAAATGAGCGGTTTGACCTCTATATGATTCCCATTTTTTTTTTCTTTTTAGCATTAGAGGTCATAAAATAAGAATTTAAGACTTTCTTAATTTTTATGTGTATTAATCCATGAATTTTTGAGAATATGATTGACCAGATTTTTTTACCTAAAATTTTGTATGACCATCCATAATGACCTTGCTAACCATATACATAGCCTCTACAAAATCCACGTCGCCTTTTAGCGTTTAGGTGTGACGAAACATGAATTTAAGATTATTATTTTTTTAGTTTTTATGTGTATTAATCCATGAATTTTTGGGAATATGAAAAGCCAGATCGTTTTACCCCAAATTTTTGTGCTGGCATCCATAAAAATCTAGTGAACTATAACCATAGCATTTAAAGGATCCACATCACTTTTTTTAGCGTTTAGAAATTACAAAACATAAATTCAGAATTTTCTCAGTTTTACGTATATATATATATGTAAACTCATATGTATGTGAAGAACCTAACCAAGCTCAGTTAATAGACTAGTCAACCAAATGATCTCAGTAGTTGCAATAGTCATACTCGTGTCTTGAGAGGAAACACCTAGATCAGAGCTAGCATTCTTCATGTATCTAACCACCATCGCTATAACAAAAGAACTTTTAGCGGTAATAAATATGCACATTAATAAAGAGTGTTAAAATCTTTACCAACATTGATTAATTGCTATTAGATCCAATGTTGCTATAGAGACTTTAAGGACATTTTTATAAAGAGTGTTAATTGCCTTTAAAAAATATATTTAGTGGTAATTAAATTATTAGCGTTAATTCATTGCAGCTACAAATCATTTTTGATACAGTGCATCAAGTCACTCTTCATATGAATCATATGATCAATTGTATTCCTCACATAGACATCAAAATCCACATTGATAAGCTTTTAATTAAGCTATAATGAAGTTACAGTAGGTTTTAAGCTCTATAGTATACTTTCTTTAGTTGAGCAAGATCTCTTTTTGAGCCACATAACTAAAAAAAAATGGAGAATTGGGTGGCACCACTAATTGCAAACAATAAATCACCACAATAACACATTTATTTATTAATTCAGTCTATTTTGATATCTCAAAATTTGTGTCGAATTAATTAATTACATATCATCAAATATAAAGCACAACAAGCATATTAAGTTTAAGGTACAACATTAGATAAACTTACATAAGAAGAAACATGAACCTATCATGAAACTTACATAATTCAATTGATCAAAGGGGGACTAGCTCTTTATTCCTTATTTTTATTGATATAGATTCATAATATGAACCAAGCTATTGCTTTAGTTGTCTTATAATCGACCCGATCGACCTTGATATTGTATACTAAAATGATGTGATCAATTATTTGATGGAAACAACTTCTTATAGGCATCTGTTATTGCCACATTTGTAGTACTAAATCCACCATCAAGTATGAGATTATGTCCACTCACATATTTTGCATCATCACTTGTCAAGTACAACATTGCATTTGCTACATCTTGTTCATCCAATAAAGCTCCTTTCAAATTTCCTCCTTCTTCAAACCATTTGTCTGCCTTTTGTTCCTCTACTCCAAATCCATTTACTACTAATGGTGTGCTAATGTAATAAGGTGAAACGCAATTAACTCTTATTCCATATTTTCCTAATTCGACCCCAACGTTCGTTGAGAGCCCCAAAACCGCATTTTTCGAGGATGCATAGGTGTGAGGGACACCAGTACCAAAGACCACGTTAGAAGCACTTGCCGTGAAAAGAATGACACCTTTCTTATTTGGAATCATCACTCTAGCAGCGTGTTTCGCGCAAAAGAATGCACCAACAACGTTTACATCAAACACGTCCTTAATTATATCGTGATCTACATCTAGAATGCTTGAAATTGGCTTACCTAATACACCAGCGTTACTGCACATTATGTCAAGCTTACCAAATTTAGTAATTGTTGCATCAACAACATTTTTAACGTCAGATTCAATCGAGACATAACAATGGACATAGATAATTGTTTGCTCTGTACCAATTTGTTTTACTAATGAATTTCCGAGATCATTTTGAATATCTGCAATTACCACTTTTGCACCATGTTGAACAAAAAGTCTAGCTGTGGCTGCTCCTATGCCACTAGCTCCACCAGTTATAATTGCTACCTTACCTTCTAGCCTGCATAAAATAAGTTCAAATATAAATTAGTACTATTATCAAGAACAATAATATGAATAGGGAAAATAAAAGAAAAGAAAATAACTTTTTGGCAATTGGGGATTGAAAAGAAGAGTTGGCCATTTTCTCAAACTAGAAAGCTTTTTGTATATTTTTCACATATTTAGAGTCTCTATTTATAAGAAAATTATAGTGTGTGTTTGCACTTAACCCCATTAATTTTTTACAAAAAATATATTTTTAAAACCCCATTAATTTTGTTTCTTCTAGAGATAGATAATTGAGTTGAAAACATTTGATAATTTGTGGTTGATAATTTGCTACAATTAGTATCCTTCCTAACAAGCCTGTGTTAAAGGCTTAAAAGTCTAAGTCAAAATTCAAAATATACAAACCAAACTTATATGAATTTTAATTTCTTCAATTTGAAAACTGAAAATTCAAATCAAAATATTTATATTTAATTTGATTGACCTGAACAACTACCCCTATCTGCATCGGTGTATGCTTATACTATGTTAAATTTAACGCTTTGGAAAATATGTTAGATACTATTGAATATTATTTAATAGTAAGGGTAAAATAGACATAAAATAGTAAGTTATCTATTGACTTGTTAAACTGAACAAGTATTATTGGACATTTATTTTTAGTATAGTGGATAAGTAAAAATGAACAGAAGGAGTATGATTATATTCTATTTTTGTTCTTCTTTTTTTTCTCTCATGAATTCTTTTTACATAATATATATATCGAAGTTACTATATAATATTTTTTTATCATGAAAAGATGAAAACGAAAACTTAAAAATAAAGAGCACTAAGTTTATCGTGGAAAAATCCTTCAAACCGAAGATAACACCTATGCAATCAACAAGATCTGAATTACTTCAATATAACAAATGTTTTGAATTGGATATCAGATTTGGTACTTCAACTTTTCAAATATTAGAAAAAATGAATTCTTATACCTTATATTAAGTAACCCTTACTCGTATATATGCTTAATACTTATAAGTCTAAAGGTTTAATAGTACCCTAATTGTTATACATTTAATTCCATTAATTTTGTTTCTCCTAGAGATAGACAATGAGTATGAAAACATTTGATGGTTTGTGATTGGTGATAAAATGGAGGTTCACAATTAATATCTTTCCTAAGAAATCTGTGTTAAAGGCTTAAAAGTCAAAGTCAAAATATACGAAGTGTAAAAAATGCGATTTTGATTGTATAATAGAATAAACACTAATACCTTAATTGAATCGGTTAAGATCGAATCTATTTATTAAAATAATTTCCTGATTGCTCAAGACATCTCCTTTTAACCGAGGGACCAAACTTATTTGAATATTAATTTCTTCGATTTGAAAACCGAAAATTCAAATCAAAATTTTTATGTTCAATTTGATTGACCCGAACATCTACCCTTATCTGCATCGGTGTATCCGTGTATGCCTATAAATTATAATAAAATACCATAGGCCAAAAAATACAAGAGAATTCTATCACCTTTTTCTGTTTTTACTCATGGATTATTTTAATTATTATTATGCTTTTCTATAAACAAGAGTTTTATTGGAAAATCAAGCTAAATAATATAAAAAATGACAAACGCTATGAGATCTAGTGAAATCAAATAAAGAAAAAGAAAATGTCCTAAAGAATATGATACATATATATAATCAATTCTTATCTTTCAAAATTCATTGAATTTCATGATTCTTTAGCCTTATTTCGATTTGTTAATTTTTATTATCCATCATGAATTTAACAAACTTGAATTTAATTTGTATAACTAATAATTTATCTTCTAGGTTAAATTATGTTGTGTATTTGCAACAAATATGCAATAATTATTTTATATGTTCTTCATGTAGCTATGCAATATAGATGGGGCACAATGATTATTAATTTCCTTAAAATACAATTAATGCACCATTAGCAACAAAGTATAATTATATTCTATTTTTCTTCCCTTTTTTTTCCTCAATTCTTTTTACATAATTTATATATCGAAATTACAATTAAATATTAAGATCTGTATGGAGCATAATTCCCTTTTTTTTTTAAAAATTGAGCTTACTAAATAAGATTATCATTCATTAATATTTAGAATTTACTCGATCATTTTATTGAATTGGATATCAGATTTGGTACTTAAGCTTTTCAAATATTAGAAAATTTGAATTCTTATACCTTATACTAACCATTACTCGTATATATGCTTAATAATACTAATAAGTCTAAAGGTCTAATAGTACCCTAATTGTTATACATCAACTCCATTAAATTTTGTTTCTCCTAGAGACTAGGCAGTGATGGTCCGTGTGAGAACGGGCCCAACAAGGACTTTTACGAGTTAAATTGCGTGCACACGTATCTATGGGCTAAATGTGTGTGGGCACAAACATATATGAAAGGTTTTTGTTGGCTAAATGCACACACAAACTTAATACTCCCTCCGTCCACAATTATTTGGCAGGTATACTAAAATAGATGTCCAAAATTAATTGTCAATTTAAACAATCAAGAAACAATTAATAACCTTTTTCCACTTCTGCCCTTAATGATAGTGTAGTTCAATTGAAAAGTTATGTAGACTTTTGGTATTCTTGGTATAATAGGGTTATATTAGTCAAATTACACCTTCTATTAAATTTTCCTTGAGGGGTGTGCATGACCTTACCCTGACAAACAATTGTGGACAGAGGGAGTATATATATATGTGTGTGTGTGTGTGTGTGGGGCTACATTATTTACATTGGATATTTACATCCTATACTATTTATGTACTGCTACATTTTGGTTGCTCTCCAATGTTAGCGCCTGGAAAAATGTACCTGCAGAAGAAGAGGAAAAATGAATTTAGATTAATTTTACTTCTAAATAGCTTGTCCATAACTAGGGATGACAATGAAGTGGGGTGGGGTGGTTGTGGGGGCAAACCCGCATAAATTCGCGGAGACTTAAATCCGCCCCACATAGACTAATTTACCTTTTCAACCTGCCCTGCATAATTTTTTTTTTCACTTTGTTATTTAGCTTTAACATTCGATTATAATTTTTTTTGAATATTCAATTTATAAATTCTAATTATGAAACACAATTCAAAATTTAACATTAACTGTAATTTAACAAAAAGATAAAAATAAAAATCAACAGTTACACAGTAAAGTAGAGGCTAGAGCGATTAGGCTAGAACATCAACACTTACACTGTAAACCTGCACTTGCCCTTCCCCGCTAAGAATTGAAAAAAATCTATTTCAACCCGCCCTGTATCTGCCCCGCACCCACAATCATGTTCCCCGCTCCGCATAGGCCCAAGTCCGCCCCGCTCCACACCCGCCCCGCTCCATTGCCATCCCTATCCATAACGTAAATTCCAATGAAGCATAACACATGGCCATCACTTACCTAGAAGGAAGAACTACTTGGGGAACGAAAGGAGAATGCGATGTCTCCCCCTCAGCTGCAAGTAGAGCTGTCAAAATGGGCATGGCCCGTTAAGTCAGTCCAGCCCAACCCAACCCTTGAATTAATAGGGTCGGGCCTAATTTTTTTGGCCCATTTAGGTACCAGACTTTTTGGCCCAGCCTCATTTGGCCCGCTAGCCTCGTAGGCCCAACCCACGAGGCTTAGAGGTCAGCCCATGGGCTATGAATGTTAAAAATGTTTATTATAAATATTTTAGTAGTGTTTTATTTGTAAAGATTTTGACTATAAATATTTTTAAATATATAAAATCAAATCTAACTCCTTTGTAGATCTTTCACATTTTAGGGTCATTTGCCCACTAAAATCAAGTCTATTTTTATTTTTATACCTAATTTTCCATTTCCCCTTTGTTATCTTGTTTATGAAAAAATTGATCATGTAATATTTTTATCTTGGATGAATCTTACGATATTGTGCCTTGGCTATTATGTTGGCTATAAGTATTCATTAAAGTATGTAATTCATAATTCATACATGAATTTTTGTATGTATTGATGTCGTATTCATCAGACATCAACATTCGATATTCTTAGATACTCTTTCAAAAAATCAATGTTGTTCATTTTTTGGGTGAAGGGACGACCCGTCCCAACCCATGACCCATTTAGGGATGGGTGGGGCTGCTATTTTATAGGTCCATTAATTAAAAGGGTCAGCTCGTCCTAATCTATTTATCTCTCTAGTTCGTTAGGGTTGGGGTGGGCCGACCCATTTTGACAGCTCTAGCTGCAAGCCTCTGAGCTTTTTGAAGCTCCTTCAATATAGCTTTAAAATCTTTAGCAAATTTAGCATCTGTAATTTTCTTGCTAGCCTGAGAGCAAAAAATGAATTTATAATTGGATTCAAGTCATAGCACGAAGGAGTAGAAAGAAGTGAGTTTTCCTAAAGTCATATAGCCTATCGAAGAAAAAAGTACGGACGTCATCGTACCATTCCGCAAGACACTACTAGACTCATTTTGGTACAATGAGATCAACAAACTTAGGGCTCTGATACCAACTTTGTCACGACCCAGACCGTCGTGATTGACACCCACACAAATTCTTCGGTGGGAGAACCACTACTACAACCCAAACAAATTTTTTTATGAAAACTAAGGCATTTAAAAATACAGAAGCAGGTTTAAATGACTATAAAAATGGAGTCCCTATAAACTCCAAGGTTTTAACAAACAACTAACCAAACTAATGTGGAAGAACAACCCCTAGAACCTAAAAGTCATTGTAACAAAACTCTACTAATGACAAGTCTAAGAATAAGGGGTACAACCCTGAAACTAAACAACACCTTCAACAAAAGTCAGAGTCCAAAAAGAGTGGACTTAAATGTCACGCCCCGAGCCTACACCCTGGGCGGGACTGACACTCGAAGACCATTGTTGGCCTCAAGCGAACCCTTGGCCTAGCTTTCTTAACTCAGCGGAAGACTTAAACATAAGAAAATATAGCACATGCATAACTTGAGAAATAATAGTTTAGCCAAAGTGGCAACTCAGTCTTTAAACAACATCTGAATGATAATGTAAAGACAACTAAACTACTAACTGTCTATGAAGCCTCTAAACAACTGAGATGGATGTTGAGACAAACCCCACAACATCCTAATGAACTAAACTAGAAAGCAAATAAAAGAGTCCTCCGGAATGCAATGA